CCATCCATCCATCCATCCATCCATCCATCCACGCATCCTCCCACTCAACCATCCACCCATCCATCCACCCATCCATCTACCCATCCACCCACCCATCTACCCACCCATCCATCCACCCATCCATCTACCCATCCACCCACCCACCCATCTACCCATCCATCCACCCACCCATCCATCCATCCATCCATCCATCCTGTGGTATTAGGGACCACATCCTCAGTACATCTTAGGAATAGCAGGAGCCATCTGCTTACTCCCTGCAAGGTGATTATATGAGGTCAGAGTTTCCTGGGCTCATATGTTTCCTTGGGGACCGAACTTTGTCATTTTCAGATTTTGTACCATGACCTCTGGTGAGTCCAGTGCTAGGTAGCTCAGGTGTTTTACTCCTCTAGATGTAGAGGAACAAGATCCAGACAGCCTGGGATGCACTCCAAGAAGTCATATTTCTCTTTAGAGAAGATCAAACTACAAGATCCACAAACATTATCTCCTAACATCACATGTACTGGACAGAGGTCCCACAGACAGCCCTCAGCAGGACCTGACACACCCGCACCCCAGTGTAAAACATCTCCTTGGTGTTCATCTAGAAGACCGAAATTCTACCAGTGTAGAGTCAGTTTTCTGCTTTATCCAAGCAATACAATTTAGAAATGCATACTACAGATGTTCTCAAGCAATGGTTGAAATGGTAACAGATAGGCCAACACTATAATAGAAATAATTTAGAAACAGCCTAATAAAGCTTGATTAAACACACTGAGACTTGGTGGTATAGAAGAACACCTAAATGAACTATAACACATATCTTAGTCTGTTTTCTATTGCTATAACAAAATACACAATACAGGGTAATTTATAAAGAATAGAAGTTTATTTGATTCAAAATTCCAGAGGATGAGAAGTCCGAGAGCATAGTGCCAGCATCTAAAGGCTCTTGCTGCAGTATAACACGGCAGAGGTATCGCATGGCACTAGTTTGGCTCTCCTTTTTCTTATAAAGCCATGAATGTCATGGGTGGGAGGCTCATGATCTCTTCTAATCCTTATTACTATTATAAGGCCCAGCCTCCAAATACCATTATCACATGAAGCTGCGGATTTCGTCTGCAGCACACCGGCCTCTAGGGGAGACATTCAAGCCACAGCAGAGTATCCATGCCATACACACACCATGTAACTATTTTAAAATGAGGCGGCTCTTCGCAGCTCATCTGAAACAATCTGCCGGGGACCTAACGGGGGCAGGGCAAGATGGAGAATTCTGTATGCGTGAATATACCCAGGATCTGTTCAGGTCCACCTGGGTCATTTCTGGAAGGATGAGGTAAAGCTTGGTGCCAGCAGTGCTTGTAGAGGGGACGCTGGGCCAGGGCCAGGGCAGGAGTGGCAGTGACACACTATGCTTCACACTGTGCCATGGGGTGGTCCTGAGGGAAGACAGGTTTCTATGTTTGTCTTTTCTGAGCCTTTTGAAGAGCACCGCATGTCTTATGTAATAAAAAATGGAATTTAATTAAAAATATAAAGGAAGGTAGAATCAGGACATATTCAAAGAAAATGAAATATTACAGTGAAATATAATCAATCCCTATCCCTATCACTCTGAGGATTCGGGTCACTCATGGGTTTTCAAATTCTTTTGGGACATTGTTGGTGGTCTGAGCACCCTGAGCTTTCAGAGGCAAGAAAACATAGATGTACCTGGGACATGGATGTTGGTGCAGTTAGCAAAGCAGTGACTTGTTGAGTGCTGGGGACTTAGTGCTAGAGGCCCATGACACAGGTGGCCACTAAACCTCATAGCAGCCTGTGAGCTGGGCCACTTCCAGCTCCAGAGAGGAGACCTGAGCAGGCCACACCACATGAGCTTGGCTGAGAGCGGGGGCAAGGATGGGCCTGGATCAACTTCGGTGGGCCGGGCTGGCTCCTGGACCACCAACTCCCAGGGCCGGCCTGCGGAGCAGCAAAGAGGAAGACCGATGCCATTTATTCCTTCCCATTCCTTACTTAACACTGTACA